TCTTCCTTCGCTTATCCGGGGTCGGGTCGCGGGGGCAGCAGCCTAAGAAGAGAAGCCCAGACTCTTTATATTTGTTTTGTGCCAGACCTAAATTGTCTAAGTAGGGGGTCCATGGAGGTACTCCATGGGGGTCGTGAAAGGTTTGGTGGATTAAACCTTTTTTTTGAATTTCTTCCCCTCAATTTTTTTCCACTAATTGAAAAGCCTTTAAATACTCATTAACATGAATTCAACACACTGTAGTAAACAAATAAATGGAGGCATAAGATGTCTTTCAATCATCAATGCACACATTCAGCAACACACAGGAGCTCTTTCAACCTGGGTACCGTTTTATTCCCAACACCTGTCCCATCAGTGAGGAATCAGAATCAGAAATACTTTAATAATCCCAGAGCGAAATTACTTTTGTTACACGACTGCATCTGTAATTGAGTGACTATAGGGCCAGTTTGATATTAGACAATTTTACACAATATATATAATTAGGGGGTCCCCGCTCCATCTCGCCATTAGTTTGGGGGTCCTTTGCCCCGAAAACTTTGAAGAACCCTGGTCTAAGTGTTGAATTTATATAGGTCATTTGGTTTCGTTCACTGGTATTCCAGGGCTCGTTCGCCAGATCTTACAGTGTAGCATAAGGGCATGTCTCTGTACATCTCACTTCCCCGCTTCCAGCCTTCATACCTTCTTCTCATATTAGATGACTTAGATACCAAATGTCTAATTCTAGAGGAGCTGTGGAAATCTTAAGCTTAGCGGTTGACCTGTCCACATTCCAGCCATATATATGGTCTTGTATGTACTACAATTGTAAAATACCTAAAACATGTCAGATGTTTCATCTCCTCCACAGTTATTAGCTTCTTGCATTGCTCTGTCATATGAAATCTCTATAGAACACACCAAGGTTTATTATTTTTATGTTAGCCAGGGTCATAAAAGCACTGTGCCACAGGTTTGTTTCCCTCTCATAAATTATAATATATACTTTTTTTTCAGGCCAGCTTTATGCTATAAAAATCAAAATCAACAATAGCACGGTGACAATGGATCATCTTAAACACTTGGTATGTAAAAAATAATGAACTTAATTTTCCTACTATGTTTAATATCCTCTAAATAGAGAATTAACTTGTTTGACAGTTAAAATCCTATGCTTCCATTCGGAACTCAGGAGAACAAGAGTAAGTTGTATTTTATTTCAGTCATCTAAACACTTTTAACTAAATTTAACATTAAATTTCTGTGTCTACCAGAAATGTTCATAATGTTTTTTTATAACTGAGCTGCTGGGCAGTTTAAAAGTATAATTAATGACTTGTTCATGTTGAATCCGTTTGGCTTGAACATTTGTTATTTTGTGAACATTAGATATAGTACGAGGTTACCAACTAAATGTAAACAACCTCTTGTTTCCAGCTTCAATAACTATTCAGACATCTTTGAAAAGCACAAGGTATATCTTACTGCAAATAGCCTTGATAAACCTTCTTAACTCTTGATAAAATATGAAAAACTGTAACTCAATCTCTTTTTACCCAGCGGACACATCTGGAATGTCATGGAGTGAAGAATGAGAGGTAAATAATTCTTTGCCTTTTTTAAGGGACAGTTCGGAATTATTGGTCTGATGTTCTATTAAAACCTCAAAAGCAAATATAATCTTCCCTGTTTAAACATTCATATATAACAGATTAGAATATTTTCATATACATAGCTTAGTTTCACACAGTAATGTTTCCAAGCCTTTGTTATGTTATGTTATTTAATGATGATGATTTTCTGCTTACAGTCAAAGAAAACATGCCATTAAGATTAGAAAATACTCTAAGATCTATAAGAATATGAGCCGTTTTGGGGTATTATTGAAAGCATTGTTTAAAAACTAACTATAGTTTTAGGGATTTGTATGAAGAATGGTTGCTGGGATGCAACAAACAATAAATATTTTGAATTTTATTAGATAAAACTAAATATTTCTCACTCTTTCTATTGGTACAGGCTCTACAGCTGCATGGTGATATTGGAGATGTCCCAACCTGTTAATTACTGCTCTCTAAGAAAACTTTGGCAGCTCATCATTAAAGAGAAAAAGTTCATCACGTCTGATGGCTCACCCTCTCGAATGAGTTAGTGTGCCTTTATTGTTTTCACTTCTTACGAACTATATTACAGTTCTCAAAATCAAAGCATCAAAGCTTTGAATGGTCTTATTTCTGTGCACTGGTAATTTTGTATTATATTTTATATCAAACCACGATGAAAAATATATTGACTTTTGATTACTTTACATTATAATGAAAAATTAACAATGGGCTGTGCATCAAAATAGCATTTTCTGCCTTATTCTTCTCACAGCAAGTAAGCATGTCTTTACTACTCCTGTTCAAAAAAGACCTATTATTTTCAAGAATAAAATGTCATGTGTATATTCAGAAAATAGAAGGCGGTAGCTTCCAAATGATGTATCACACATGTAATGTGGGCTTACAGTTCCTCAGTTATTTGCTTTTCCATTTGGGTATGCAAAATAGGCGAGAATTTCCCAAAATGATGAGAACATTAAGAGAATATACAAAAATAATGTTTATGATTCCTGTGTATCTCCATTAGTCTTTAGAGGAGTTGATGTGTTCTTTGGTAAATTGAATAATCTTGAGCCCTTTTGATTGTTAACAGTGGGACCACTGCCAAAAGCTTAACACAGCTGGGGTTTTCTCCCATCCATTAAAGTGGTATTCTTTCTTTTTTTCCATCTCAATCTGGTTTTGCTTCCAAATTTTAAGCATTGGAGATTGTTTTAGCAGATTTTTCTGTTACTTTTTTTGCGTTTTAGCACATTTTTTTTCTCCACTGTTCTTTTTAAAACCCGTATGGTTAACCTTTTTTTGTCAGGTTTTCCGAGAGATATTGATTTTATAGGCCGCCTTTTTGATATCTATTTCTTGACAGAATGAATTAAACTCCCTTTTTTTCTATGAATTAATCATTACACAAACGTAGAAGCAATACGGAAACTGATGGTTTTCTCGAGAAAAAAGAGTTAATTTTCTCATTATGTAACGGTAACGAAAGCCGTTTTTTCATGATAATGAGATAATAGTTTTCTAATAAAAAAAAAAAATATATATATATATTTTTTTTAAATACCATTACTGACGGGGTTCTTTGTCTCCTCAGTGGTGTGTGGTGGGGATCCTGATTTGTCTAACCTTACTGTGGTGGCATTAAACCTGACATGGAGTGAAGTTGATCTGGACTCTTCTCATTTTTGTCAACCTGACCCTATTCGCCTAGAATGGTATGCATTTATAAAATCCAATCCAACTTTATTTATATAACACTTAAAAAAAAAAAACAATAGGACCAAAGGGCTGCACAAAAGCAGAAAAACAAATACCATAAAAAAAATCCTTAAACAATCCAGAAGAATACAATAGAAAATAGTAAGTTTATTTGTAAAGGACAATTCAGTAAAAAGACACCTATGGAAAGAAAGCTTTGTCCTGACTAAACTTCACTGTGGGTGACCATAGAAGGCAGAAGGTACAGTATGGCAGCTGTTTGTATTATTGAGCCAAGTTACATAGTTATCTCATGTTCTTATGTTTAAAACAAAATAGAAAAAAAGTGTTTTCAATCTCTAAGAAAACAATAGATGGTCAACATTTACTTTACAACACTAATGCACTAGAACTAAAATGTTTTTTTAATTCATTATTCACAGGCCAGTATGTGGACTGTATTTCCTCTGTAGTGTTATAGATATGCTATTAAGAATACGTATAACAAAACAAGGTATAACAAATTATTAGTCTTAAAGACATCAAATTCTGGTAAACACCTAATCCCAGATAGTACTTTTTTATTTTTAATGCAACACATGCAGATTTGGACTTCCTGTGTTTGAACTGTTGTAATTATTCAAAATGACAGGACAAAGGCAAGCAAAGCTAGTTGATGGAATTCAAACAACTTGTCTTATATATTTAATTTGTTTTTTTCTTTTTTCTGTCCATAGTAAAGCTAATGAGACGCTTGCCGTTCTCTTGGCGGACAGTTGCCCTGAAGAACCTGAAACACTGAGCACTTTTCAACCCACTACTCCGAATGCTATCCTCACTGGCATTTCAACTCTGAACCATACAAGTCAAAACACTGAGCGAAAACAGACTACAAGTTCAAAACCATCAGACAGATCAACCCTATACAATTTTACAACTGCTTCCAATACTTTGACTTTAATGACAGCCACAGTCAACTTCACTGGCAAAACGGTGTCAACAACAGAGAGTGTCTCTACTTCCACTGACACAGAAGATTTTAATGAATCTAGCCTTAGACCATCCAATAATATGACAACAGAGACTATAGCCATTCTCTCTTCATCCAATAAAACTGAAAACCATAAGAAAACTACAGTGAAGCTACCCACCATTTACACAACATTGAATTCAACTAGTGTCCTTACATCAGGTGAAACTACAAGGTATGACACCACCACCGTTAGACCCTCCTCCAGCAGCCTAGTTGTGTCTGGTGTAACTAAAGCTGCATCCGGGGAAACTTCTAGCAACAATGTAACTGCAGATGTATACTTGTCTAAAGACACAACTCTGTATAATGTAACTACACGGAATACATTTGCAGTCGGAGAAACAACACGGGAAAATGTAAATAATGCAATTAACCAGAGTACCAAAAACAAAAATGTAACTACTAGGGGTAATGAAAGTTCTCCAAGTCTCCAAGTGACATCGTCGGGCAATAATTACATAGAACAGCAGAATGGAACTAAAGAAGCAAACACTCCAACATTACCAACTATTATTAGAAATCACACCAGCACATCTGCAACACCCAACAACAACACAATAGTTTACAACCATAAAAATCTCAAAAGCAATTACACAACAGCTGACAAGGCATCAACACACAGTTACAGACTTACATCTCTCCATACAAACATGAAACCAATTACCAATTATACATCAGTCTATGAAGCTACAATACCTTCTGAAAACCTCACAGCATTTTACAATGCTACAAACCATGGCACAACATTATATAATGATACAACACCAAGTAAAAAGGAAACAGGCATGAGCCCTACTACAACACCCACCAACAACAACAATAGCCTGAACAATAAGACAACAGTCTACACTGCTACAACACCAAACAATGATAAAACACTAGTTAGCCCTACCACAACAACCATCAACAACAACCTGACAACAGTCTACACTGCTATAACACCAAACAAAGATGAAACACTAGTTAGCCCTACCACAACAACCATCAACAACAACAAGACAACAGTCTACACTGCTACAACACCAAACAAAGATGAAACACTAGTTAGCCCTACCACAACAACCATCAACAACAACCAGACAACAGTGTACAATGCTATAACACCAAACAATAATGAAACACTAGTTAGCCCTGCCACAACAAGGGTCAACAACAAGGGCAACCAGACACCAATGTACAATGTTGCAACAACAAAGAATAATGAAACACTAGTTAGCGCTACCACAACAATGGTCAAAAACAGTAACAACCAGACAGCAGTGTACAATGTTAAAACACCAAACAATAATTTAACACTAGTTAGCCCTACAACAGTAACCATCAACAACAATAACAACCAGACAACATTGAACAATGCTACAACACAAAACAATAAAGAAACACTAGTTAGCCCCACCACAATTACCATCAACAACAACAACCAGACAACAGTCTACAATGCTATATCACCAAGAAATAATGAAACAATGGTTACAACACCCAGCAACAACACAACACTCTACAATGCAGCAACAACCGGAAACAATTACACAACATTGCACATTGGTTCAGATCCCAGCATTGACCACAAAACATCCTACGACCTAACAACACCTAGCAACAGTAACATAACAGTCTACAATGCTACAACACAAAGTTATAAGGAAACAGCACTTAGTGATACTACAATACCCAGTAAACAGAACACAACAGTCTACAATGCTAAAACAGGAAGCAACAATCATAGCACAGTATACAATGCAAAACCACTCACAGAGCATTACACACCAGTTTATAATGCAACCACAGCTAAAAACAATTTCACAACAGGTAATAATGCAACAACACCCCAAAACAATTTAACATTAGTCTATAATGCTACAACACTCACTGAAAATCTTATACCATATAATAAAACAACCAACAATTTCACAACAGTATATAATACAAAAACTACAAACAATTACAGAACAACCAACAGTGCCTCACTTAATGAAAAACATACAAATGAGTATAATTTAACAACAGTCAGCAGCAATTACACAACACTAAATAATTCAACAACATCAATAAAAAAAAACTACACAACATTTACTGCAACAGCACCCAGTAACAACTATACAACAGTCTACAATACTACAGCAATCACTGAAAAACACTTACACAACTATAATACTACAGCATCCAGCAACAATTACACATCTGTCTACAATGCTACATCGTCAAACACCAAACACACAGCTGTCCAAAATACCACAACACCCAGCAATAGTTATACAACAGAGCAAAATGTAACAGCTAAAAACAATCATACAACAGCCTATTATGCTACTATATCTAGCATCAATATGACAACAGTGCACAAACCAACCATGACAAGCATACATTTCACAACAAATCAAAATATAACACACATAACCAGCAATTTTACAAATAAATATAATGCAACACTTTTCACAACAACCTCCAACACAGCATCACCCTCTAAAAGTAGCACAACTAATATGGTAGGAGTACAAAATACAACTGCATTGAATTATTCCAGCACTTTGCACCCTGCAATCAATTCCTCCATTATTTACACATCAGTAACTAGATCACCTCGAAATGCAACAACTGCATTCAACATCTCCATTGCACCTGTAGATCCACAGCAGATCACAACCACTCTCAACATAAATACAACGGTTGTAGCAGCTCTTACAGAAGTAGGCAGGACTACAAAACTAAACTCAACTACAGAGAGTTGGACTTCACTTGCTGACAACAGCACAAAACCAACGCAACATTCAATGTTAAACCAGACTGGAAACCGGACCACAGTTACTGTTACTCAAATGACAACTGTTTACAAAAATGACAGCAACTTAGGTGCAGGTTTCAGCACCATTCAAGCAACCAAACCATTAAGTTCCAACTTAACAAAAGACACTGTTTCCCCTTTCACTGCTACAACTGTAAACACAATTTTACCTACACATGATCCTACAAATAAAAGGCCAGTGTCTTCGGCTACAAAGACAACAACTCTCCCAAGCAACAAAGCCACAATGAGCACAGTGACCAGTAAGTAAAGCTTCTACTTGTCAAGTTCTTGTCTGATAAAGACTTTAGGTTAGGCAAAACAAACATAGAGCCAATTAGGTTTGCAATATATAATCTGCTTTATCCTTTTCTTAGGCACTGGAAATACGTTAATGACCACTATGAAGACAAGCACAAGTACAGAGAATAAGGAGGAAAAGGCAAATGAGCTGTTGGACCAAACAGAAGATGTGTCCAAGCTAAACTCCTCTCTGGTGAAAAATCGAACTGAAATATAGTTAAAATTGTGAACTATAAGTATATAGTTTACTAATTTAATGTGTGTTTTAGGTGTCTAACCTGGTGGGCAACCTGGAGAAACTTCTGGAGAGCCCATCTATTTCTCAGTCAGTGGGAAAAAAAGTTATTGATATCATAAGCAACCTCATGAATTGTGACCCAGAGATTCTTTCTGGATCAACAAATAGGTCTGACTGATACAATAAATCCTCAAAAAACAGCTATAGATATTTTTATCTTTTGTAATGTATACATTTTCTTTGCTGATGACAGGCTGATTCAGCTAGTGGATACATTGGGTTTAAAGCTGGAGGTCATGGGTGTCAGTGGGATGCTGTCCTCAACGTCTCTGGTTCTGGCTATAAAGACGGTGGATGGGACAAACTTTCCTGAAACCTCTGTTGAGATTTTTAACACTGATAATGTCCAGGTAAGACAGCGAGGAGTGTGGCCTTTTTGTCTAGTTCAACCTCGTCAACCCCTTTAGTATTAGGGTTAATATATTTTCCGAACATAATTTCTACATATTTGGTCCTACCTCCATATCTGGAGTTGTGAACTTGCCCTCAGCTATTGCCCATTTTTACCTGACTCTTTTGGGTTTGAAGAGTTATCAACCTTGGATGAAAGAATCCTATTACTCTTCTGTGGAAAGTGTGGTCTCTTCTGTGGTCATTTGTTGGGGTAGTAGCATCAAAGCCCATTTCTTGAAGGGAAAAAGAATACTGCTTCCATTTTGCAGCTGCTGAACTAGGGCTTCCATGCCTGACTGTGGAGAGAAAACTGCTTCATAGAATAGAGACTATAATGATGACATGCAGTATATAAACCACAGATTTTAGCCAGAGATGTCTTCATATCTGATGTAACCCTTTTAGACCACACCATTTAGCATCTAAAACAACTTTCAAATGGTTGAAATTTTGATGAAGAGTCTAACAAGTTTTTCAGATTTATGGTTGCCTAATCGGGCTGGACATAACTATAAACAAATAACCACACTTCATCAACATTCACCAGCAATATATCTCAATCTACTAAAGTTTGGTTCTCTTGACATACCTCGGTTTGTCTGTCAATAAAAATTGAGTATTAATGGCATTATCGTCAATGTACAAGACTACCTTTAGCAACATAACTTTCTTACAATATTGAAAAGACAGCGTTAATATTGTTTTTGGAAAAATTGACCTATTTCTGAACAACGTGAATAAGTCTGATCTGAAACCAAGGACTTAAAATGCAAATACTGGTATTTAGGCCAACATGGCCTGATATTGCTCAGTTAGGATGTAGCTTGCAGTTAAATATTCATCATATTATCTTTGTGTTTTGCTTCTGCATTTTTTTCTTCAGCTCCGAAGCATCAGTAGGTCCCGGGTCAAAAGGTCAGCTTCTGCTTTGGGATCTGTGAACTTGCCCTCCTCCCTTACAGCAGGTCTACTTCCTGAAGAGAAGCTGCAGGCCAGCAGAGTCCAGTTCACTTTCTACAAAAACAATTCCTTCTTTCAGGTACAAGCTGCTGATAAACATCCAAATCAATCAATAGGACCCCACTGTTTTTGCAGTTATGGCTACAGTACAAGTGTTTTTATATCTGCAAAATGAGTTCAGTTACTCAGATAATTGATATCTTGCACTCGCTTACATGCAGTTAAATATCAAATTATTCATACAGCTACAAATTGCAAAATGCATGACGCAGAATTCAAAATTTAACAATATTTCAAACTCAAAGTATTGAAATAGTTTAAGATTTGAATATTATAAAAAATATCTGTAGGAAGATCGAATTAACCCTATAATGACAAATGTATCGTATTTGATATACACAGTTTCTGAAATGTTTTGCGTCTGACACCTTTTGCATAATTTAATGGTAAAAACTTTGCTCAAAATCCTATTGTACACAATCAGATATACCTGATAACAGAGGGCAGAAGACTACACAAAAAATAATCTTGACTTATCGCATAGTAATAAATTATTAATATCAAAAATGTATTTCTGTTTTTTCTTTTTACATATTTTGTTAAAGGGGCAAATAAGGAATTTAAACCAAAAAAAAAGTAATTTTCTGTTTTGCTTTATTCTTGGATCGGGCTTTAAAGGGTTAAGGGTGTTGACAGGGACTGGATTTTATCACCAAAGATAAGTGATCAAATTAAATTTGTCATAAGAATTTTTTAACTGCTTTAATGTCAGTAAAAATGTTCGTCTTTGAAATTAAATGCAAATAAAAAACTCTGAAATAATTTCTCAGTACTCTCCATTTCTCTGGCTGAGTACTCTCAGTTCTCTTAAAGAAACAGAAACAAACAAAAGAAGGAACTTTTATAATTTCAATGATTCCACAGTATGTATAGAAATATACACACTTTAAGGTGGTCCAATGCATAATCTTAATCTTGAGAAGAAAGTTCTAGACTGTAATCAGGGCAGAAATTGGCATTTGCTGCACACATTATTTGTAATGTGAAAAGTGATCCAGATTTTTTCATGATTACTGATTTTAAGTCTGGTGTATGCATATTTGATCATCACTGCTTGATGGCTGGTTGCTCTGGATCTTATTTGAATGTATATGGGTAAATACAACTTAATGTATTTATGAATATCCCATTTTTCAATAGATTTTTTCCCCCTAAGATATCGTGAAACCATATTTGATTTTACATCACTTTCAAAAATACACACTACTTTGTTTGTTCGCCAGATCAAATTCCATTGCAATGCATTAAAGGTTGTAGCAATGAATAGTTCAAGATTTCATTGGCATAACAAAGCACTGCAGTAAAAAGTTTCAGATATCCACTTTTCCGGAATATGCTGATGAAGGTTCTCAGTCATCCAGGCCATAGTTATTTCTTAAAAATTCAAGAAATATCCAGTGGACTTGGTTTCCAAGATTTGAAGACGTTTCGCCACCTCTCCAGGAAGCTTTCTGGAGAGGTGGCGAAACGTCTTCAAATCTTGGAAACCAAGTCCAGTGGATATTTTTTGAATTTTTACGGAAACTCTTTTCAGGAAGGAAAAAATGTCATTATCCTTGTAGAGCTTTTATATGTGCTTGAAAAACTTATGAGAGGCTTTAAAAGTTTTTATAACTGTTTTTTCTTTTGCAGGATTCTTCCTTAGACAATCAAACAGTCGCCAGTGCTGTTCTGGGCTCCAGTGTGGCTAATTTGTCAATAAGCAATCTCAAGGAAAACATCACTTTTACCATCAGGCATATGAGTTTAAGTCTTGTGAGTATAAGTAATGAGATTACCTGAGAATCTAGATTTTGATCTAAACAATGGTTTAGATTAGAGTGGTTAGCCTCTAGCTGTGTAACGTCATATTGATAGAAACCCAAAACAAAACTAATACTGTCGGAAAAAAATCTGCCAAATAAACATTCTTAAACGTTTATATTATAATTAATTTTTTTGAAAAGTAAAACATCTGGATTTAAATTGATTGTAGTTAAAAAAAAATATAGCTCCTTCATCTGGAGAGCGTCCTCCGTTTAGAGCTAGGGAGGAAAATCCCTGAAACTTCAAGAATGGAAGTCTACTTGTTGGTTTTTATGCATTTTAAGATTTTCATGATAATCTTCACCCAATAATTGTTACTTTACTGTATTCGCCCTTTAATGTTCCTTTTCTTGGTTTTCAGAATGACATCACATCTTGTGTTTTCTGGAATTTCACTAAGAACCGTGAGTGCAAACATCTGGGTCTTTTTCAGGCCTTAAGAAGATTGCAGTCATTCACTGTCTGCCTTTTGTTCTGGTTTTAGACAAAGCAGGGGGCTGGGATGACAATGGCTGCTCCGTTGCCAACACCACTGCAGAACACACAACCTGCAGCTGCAACCATCTAACCTCCTTTGCCATACTGCTGGTAATTATGTGATTGTCCTTCTAAAACTCCCTAAGTGGGACCCACTAAAGGAATTTTCTGAGTATTTTAGGGTTTTCTCCCCATGTTGAGTTTGTTTGTGCTTCAATGCAGGATATGTCCAGAGAGGGAATAACTGACCCGCTGCAGGCGAAAATTCTGAGTTTCATTACTTACATCGGCTGTGGAATTTCTTCTGTCTTTCTAGCCGTCACCCTGATAACCCATTTGTTATTTGAGTAAGAATATCCACTATTTTACGTCACATAATCGATATTTTATAAATAATTTAGTTTTGCATATGGTACTTATGAATCTGTCTTTTTAGAAAACTGCTCCGCGATATTCCTGCCAAGATCCTGGTCCAGCTCTGCTTTTCCCTCCTGCTCCTCAACCTGGTCTTCATGCTGGATGGATGGCTTGCTAACTACAAAATAGTCAATCTTTGTATCAGCACTGCCTTTTTCTTGCACTACTTCCTGCTGTCGTCTTTTACCTGGGCGGGGCTTGAGGCTCTGCACATGTACCTGAGCATCGTGCGAGTGTTCACACCCTACCTAAGTAGATATATGCTGAAGTTCTCCCTGATGGGCTGGGGTAAGACATGTCTGCAGTAGTTTCCTAAATGTAACCCTGTTTAATTAACCCTTTTACACACTGATGACAATCTGTATCTATTTACCGTGGTTCTCAGGTTTTCCTCTCATTGTGGTGGTTATTATCATAGCTGTGGACAAAAACAACTATGGTCTGGTGCCATATGGAAAATACGAAGATGGGACTACAGATGACTTGTAAGATAAATATTTTTCTGTAATTGCATCATTATTTGTTTTAACAATTTATGCCTTAAACCAGTTGTTTAACAAATATGATAAATCTTTTAGATTTTAGCTGCATTTTCACTTTGAAACATTGGTACTGTAAGCAAGCTAAGAGTAAACATACTAATGAAAATAGTCCTGCATAAAACAGAAACATTATTGTTTTCCAGGCTGAGGGCTGTTGCTTTATCAGCCTTATCATCTTTCAGTTGCTGTAGTTTGGGCTAAGATGTATTGTGGTGTATGATGAGGTGATGACTTCAAGCTTCTGATGTGAGGTTACTTCAGGCATACCTGCTGACAGACTTCAGTAAAACTTCAAACAAAGCTGGTGTGATGAAGTACAGATCTGTGTACAAAAACATGAAAAATCTTGACAGAATTATGAATGGATTACTAAAGAACTACAAACATCATCTCTTCAAATTATACACTAATACATCCTGCCCCTGGTTCTTCGTAGCAATCCAGGAGACAACTGACATATTAGTTTGAGACTATTGATATTAGTTTTTCTACAAAGCCATATCCTATAGAAGCAGTCATATTTTACTCCTTACTTTAGACATACATTATCTGGTAACTGGGACTTTAGCTGTCCTGTTATGGCAAAAAAGAGTTAGTCTCTTCAGAACAGTCGGCATCTGTTTTTCATTCATATCTATCATTTTAAGACCTGCGGACACTACTGTTCCAAAGTGAACTAAACAATTTAAAAATTATTACGAGAGTAGGCTAAATGCTACCTGTAAGCAGTCCTACAATTTATGAGATAGCTACAACTCTAAAGTGATTCCAAAATATGCCCCCCAAAGGGGAGATCACTTATTTGCTCACCTGGTGCATTTTAATGTGGGTGATAAAGGGAGGGTATTTTTTTGTTGACCACTTTACACTTCAGATGTTTTGCCTTTAGCAAAACAAAACATTGCTGTTTGGCTGTGAAAGGATCCTGGAGAGAGATATCAGCTGTGCTGCTGCCATCAACACCTTTGTTTATAGATGTTGGAGATCGGCCTGTTTTTCCAGTGTGGTCCTGTTTCTCTGACTTTGACTGGTTGAATGTGCTGTCTTCATCTTCTGACATGGGAGTTGGCTGGGAGCTCGTCTGTCTGGCTGTGTGTTTCCTGGACGGAACCGCCTTTTACAGTTGCCTTTTGTATCTCTGCCTCTGTTTCCTTGAACCCCAGTCGGCCTCAGCAGATGGCCGCTCACACTGAGCCTGGTTCTGCTGCTAAAAGGGAGTTTTTCCTCTCCACTGTCGCTACAAGCATGCTTAGTGTGAGGTATTGCATTCAGGTCAATGAGTCAATGTAATAAACTGGTTTTCATTAGATAGAAAACTTTTAATCAATTTGACTGGATGATCTGGTTGAGCTGTAAAGTGCCTTGAGATGACGTGTTGTGAATTGGTGCTATAGAAATAAACTGAATTGAATTGAATTAACCAGTGCTGGACCCTGTAGGTGTATCTTATTCATGTTACTGCAGGACATGGAATCACTTGTGTTAAGCATTTGATTTTGAAAATGTTGATGTAAATAAAGGAATCATAGTTGCAGCTTGTACTAATGTGTTTAGCACTGATGTGGTGAACCATAATTCCTCTACTCAGCTGCTGCTTTTTTAATAGCCGGCAATAAAAAATCAAATTACCCATTTTCCGAGATATCGTTAAAAAAGAAAAAATGTATTGCAAAGTTGATTTCTTTTGCACAGTGAACAGATCAAATCATAACATTTGAAAGGTGACAATGTTGTGATTTAACAAGGAAATTGTTGTTGTTTATTTACTGTTAACTACAGTTATTCACTGTATTTGACAGCAAAACAAACTAGGGATCCTCTGCTGTGGAAACTCTCTGCCAATGCATAGTACATAAGAACAAAAATAAGTGATTCTGTTTTTTTTTAGAAACATTGGCTTAGGAGCTTTTGCAGCTTGTTGTGGAAACATATTCTGGACATAGCTTGTAGTGTTGAAAATATTGAGTAGTACGGTGAAAAATAAGAATAAAATGTCTTGTCCAGAGAGAATGTTTTTACTTTAGCCCTCTGTCGATGGAGAGTCCAAACGTCCCAATTTTCCAAGGATAATCCCAGTCTGGGGCCACATGTCCTCAACAAACCTATCCTACCATCTGATGAATAAAAACAAATGCTGCACATACAGTCTTATTACAGTACTATTTCCAATGAATGTTTGTCTGGGTGAGTTAGTTTTAAAGAGATGCAGATATTGTTTACAGATTTAAGAGAAAAAAAAAGTTGTGTGTTATTAAATGGGGTGGTGTGGCCTGATCTAAGATGCCAGTGCAGAATTTCTGTCTCAGTCTGCCCCGGTTATGTGTGGATAAATAACTCTCTGGACTGGGCTGATTCTCGCAGGGATACAATTTTGCTGCTCAGGAAAAAAAATTAATAATGTTTAAATAACTTTTTGCCAAAGAAATAAAATAAGCTTTTATTAACATACAGAGCAACAAAAGGGCACATGGGAATGCAGCATTGGGGCGGGGATAACATATTGGCTCAAAAGAAAAAGAAAAACTGCTTTTTAAATGCTGCTTTTTGTGTCAAAAGTCCATCCAAGTTAGATGTTTCAGGATTGACAGGAAGCCTTTAGTTACTGTTTCTATGATAAGTTTGTATATAGTTACACACACCATTTACCGTATTATAGACTCTCATTTTTAGGTGTGCTTGTTCTCTTAGTTTTGACATATAAAAGTTGGTTATGAAGAAAACAAAGGAGTCAGTGACAGAGAATCTATGAAGGAAGTAAGAAGCCATCAACTGAGAAATATGAGGAGGGAGAGATAATTACCTGGTTAAATGAACATTTCTTCTGTTCAGCTTTTAGACCCAAATAAAAACAGTTTTGGTGTTTTTGAAAGGCCAAAAAAAAAAAAAAAAAACTGTCAATAGCCTAGTAAATGGATGAAATAATTGAAAAACATGAATATTTATGTTAACATTATACTAGGATGAATCCAACATTTGATCTAAAAATAAAAGGAGCTACTGAAGGCTGTTTATGATCATAAATAGATGGATCATAATCAGTACCAAGGGTTTACTTTCTAAACAACCAGTTCACCTGCTGTAATGTTATCATTTATAGGCAAGCTGTGTTTTGTCTCTAACCAACATGCAGTTTACATGAAAACACAATCTTATCCAAAGATTTAATAATTTTCCCAAGCCACCATCATGCTTTAATTCTGAGCATGTACTAATTGCCGTTATAGGTTGCTTTATTCCCGACATATCTTATTGAATGTGCCTTTTTTTGTCTCTCCCCCTGCAGTTGCTGGCTACGTAATGACATTGCCTTCTATGTGGGCGTGGTAGCCTACTTCCTCCTCATTTTTGTCTTGTGCCTGGTGGTCTTCATTGTGGTTATGATCCAGCTCTACCGGATCAAGAAGCAGAACCCTCACAACCAGTCCCCGAACAGGAGTGCAATGACTGACATGAGAAGCATCATTGGCCTCGTTCTGCTGCTTGGTCTCACCTGGGGCTTTGCTCTGTTCGCCTGGGGGGACGCCAAACTCCCCTTTATCTACCTTTTCACCATATTCAACTCTCTTCTAGGTGACAGCTGGTTGCATCGGCTCGTATACATATACATATATATATATATTAGTGTTGCACCGATACCGATACCAGTATCGGACGGGGCCCCGATACTGCCCTAAAATGGTGGCACGATACCATTTTGAGAGCCATAAGTTTTTCCTGCTTCACAAAGGTAGCAAGCAGCTTGACAAAGCCACGATGGCAATTATTTTAAATTATTATGGTATCGATATCGGCCGATACTGCACAGTCAGGTATCGGGGATTGGTATCGGGGCCAAAAAATGGCATTGCCGCAACACTAATATATATATATATATATATATATATATACATATACATATGTGTGTGTGTGTGTGTGTGTGTGTGTGTGTGTGTGTGTATGTGTGTTTTTATTACATAAAACATGCAAACACATTGAAATAACATCTTTATTAAACTCATAACATTTTTAATTGAATAACATGTCTTGTATAGGATTGTTTGTCTTCATTTTCCACTGTGCCGTGAAGGAAAATGTCCGCAGGATGTGGAGAATGTATCTGTGTTGTGGAAACTTGCGGCTGGCTAATAACTTAGGTGAGTCATCTTAACTTTTCCTGAATTAAGTCATGACTGAATTAGCATGAAACACCTGGGCTCTGCAAGGGTTTCATAGGACTTTGTCTGCAGATTTAATAAAGATAAAGATTCAAAAGCCTGCTAAAGAAATCACACATCTTACAACTTTCTTACAACTTAGTTTTGCTGTTTTTTTGTTATAATTTTACACAGTTTATCTGACCAACCCCCATAAGAAAGAACTCTTTACCCTTTGGAAAGTTTGGGCTAATAAAAAGGCATTTCTTATCAAAACAGAATTTATTAGTAAAATTTAAATTTAGTTCCTGAAATATTCGTACTTGTGCTGTAAATCATAGATGAATGTAAATCACAAGATGAAGATAAAGACACTTTCTAGCCTCAACAAAGTATTAACAAAAATAAATATTCAAAGTAACAACATGTTAAATTTGGTAGGTAACTTTCAGGAGGGTGAGACTTTTTTATACCAATAAATATTGGTATAACATAGTTAATTTGAAATGTATGAAATGGGGCTTGTTTCAGTGATTTTAGGTTTGCAGCTTATTTAGAAACATTGTACAAAATGCAATGGTTTATTTTTCCCCGCAGAATGGAGTCGGACTGCCACTCACAACAACAAACAATTGTCCGCTGCTACAGGCACCACCTCTGCTCAACAGCTCAGCCACCGTAGCTCCTCGTTTGCCAGCAACCTCACCAACAGCAGCGGTACGTGTTGCAGTATTTTCCTTATTTCTGTCTTTGCAGTAATCCAGTGCTTAATATTGGTCCCTGTTTGTTTCCACTTAGGCTCAGTGTTTGTGGACAGTGGTATATCAGACCACTCTAACAGCGACGTCGTCCTCAATGAGATTCAGAGACGGAGCGTTTCTCCAATAGATGAACCCTAATGACATGGCTTGAGGAACCATTAAAGATTAGGGGTCCTTTTCGGATGGAAAAATAGTTGTAGCAGAGTTGCTCAAATTGAAGTCCTTAAAGGTAGAAAAAGGTGGTAAATATTTCAAAGCAGAGTAATACTGAAAATATAAACACTTCAAGAAATCACACAACAGGAGCAAGACTTTTATGCCTATGTACCAATAGCAAAGGAGGTATATCAGAAGAAATATGGCTTGATTATGACTGAAAAATAGAAGATTCACTGTTAGAGCTGTGACCCTGTTTGACCCAGTCCTTTACTAAAGCTTACAATCTTGAAATCATTGTAACTGTGCATGTATGATGAAGTTAGGCACAGTAATTATGACTTTGTAGTGAGAAGTAGAACATTGCATTTTATTTACCATTATGGGGCTGATTTGCTGCCCTTTCACCTTGTAAAACCTAAAGAAACTGTGCCAATGGCTTTTACTGAAAAACAGTACTGCAAGGTCCAATCTGAGAGGGACATGACTTCTTTGAAATGGATTTAGAATTAAAAGCAGACAGGAGACCCATCTCTTTGATTTACAAATGCCAAATTCAACTACTAGCCTTCCTAATCAGTTGTTGAGCGGAAGGGTTTTTCTTTTTTTTTTGTACTGTAAGAACAGTGGCAGAGCCAGAAAATGTTCATAGGACTAGCTGAGAACCAGTTTAGGGTCAGTCTAAACTAAACACACTGTACCAATATAAGCGCATTTTCCAAAATAATTCACTGAAGATGCCTAGGGTTTAATGAAGGCCTTGCAGATAAATGCTGATGCTGTTTAAATAATTTCTATTACTACATAATATACGCATGAAATGGCTTGAGCAGTTGTTCTTTATTTCTGTTTATATATAAGACTCCTAGATTACTTTCAGAGACATTGCTTTCCCTTTTCTGCCATGATGCACACAAATTAGCTCTAAGAGATTAAATTGGTGTGATATTTAATGTTAGCATGTTGATGCAAATAAATGACTGTATTGTTGTTGTCAATTCATTGCTAATATACTGACAATTAAAATGTTAATTTTCTTAAAATATTCAACTTAGAAGGATTATTGATGCAGTCCTGTGTTTGAGAGGGGAACTGTTTGTTCTAGAGACGGTGAAATAGTTCACATGGGAACAAGTACCTGGTGGGGGTGGCCAATGATTGGCTAAAGGCCACCCTCTAGTTCATCCCCTGTATAGGAACAATTTATTCTTTAATATGCTAAAGCAGAGGGTTTGGGCTATGTTAGAGCTTTAATATCTGTAAAGAATGAATATGAATCATTTTAAAGTGTTTTTTTCCCCTTTGCATAAGGAAATTCCTTCACAGGAGTATGCAGTATAATAAAATTTAAATTCACCAACTGTTTGATCTTTTTTTTTTTTTTTTACATCAGAGTAACTGGGTGGTGTTTTAGCTTTTCAAATCAAACACGTTTTAATGGGCAGGTCTGATCCTACCGGCTTGTTGTTGAACCCCCAGCAGAGCCCCCTCATGCCAGCCCAGCATACTGTAGGTTGATTCGCAGCCCATCAGGCTTGGCAGCTGCTGCCGATTAAAAGTTTTACAGGAGCTGTGTGACCTCCGAGGTACACCGCAGGAAGGAGAAACGCTTCATGAATATTAGAAAAATACATGCCCATACTTCACTGTGAAGGGAAAAAAAATGCATATTATTTTAACTTATATTCTGTCAGCTCATGCTTGATTTGTCATAAAATAAGAGCTAAGTTTCATTTTTGTCTTTTTTGTTTGTAAGTAAATCAAACAAGTTATTCAGAATCAGCATTTTTTTTTTCACTCAAAGAAGGGAAACACTACTGGATTTTTAAAGTGCTCCCCCCAGCAGGAGATAAATTTACCTTTTTAATAAGAAGCACCTGCAGTTCTTGTTGTTTGTTTAAAATTGGTCATCACCCTTACCTGTGTACATAAATACCACCCATTTTGTGTGTGTGTGTGTGTGTGTCACAGCCTATAAACCTTAAATATCCATTCTACCTATATATATGTATTTTTTTTTCTTTATATATATATACTGTATATATATATACTGTATATATATATATATATATATATATATATATATATATATATATATATATATATATATATACTGNAAATGTTTGTATAGTTAAATAAAACCAGAGACACAGAAAAAAAATATATATATATATACATATATACAGTATATATATATATATATATATATATATATATATACTGTATATATGTATATATATATATATATATATATATACTGTATATATGTATATATATATATATTTTTTTTCTGTGTCTCTGGTTTTATTTAACTATACAAACATTTGTCATTTTATTTTCCCCTTTGAACCTTCTTTCCACCAGATGTCAGTATAGTTCCACCCTATGTTTCTTCTCTTGCAGCTGTCTGACGTGCTGCTCAAAAGAAAATATTTGAAAAACTTTGGAATATGAAAAAAATCTGTCTATCTAGTAAGCACAGTTAAAAAAAAATCTCTTTAATAAATAAATAAATTTCCATTATCTCTGAATATACTACAGCAGCCTAATTCCCAATATGTTGCAGACATTTTTTTCCCCATACTAATTTCTGACCAGCTGTTTGCAGAATCATGTTGCTTACTTATCTAATTAACCAGCAGATTTCTCTAACTAATCACAAGGGAAAATATTTTTTTTCCCTGTCAGGAGATATAATTGCATTTAAAGGTTAGCTTTTATTGCAGCCGTGCAACCTGGCTAATGAAGGCCATGTTGGGAGGAAGGAAAGAAGTCAAACACAGATGGTTGCATGAAATCAAATCTTATATAGATGTGTCTGAGCTTTCATGAGTCATCTCTGCTTATGTGTGCAAAAATAAACGTACAAAGATCCCCATTGACTAATTAGGGTGCGCTGTGGCACGTAAATCCTCACTCTGATCTCTATTATTGCAGAGGATCAATAATTAATGAGGGTCATATGAAAAGTCCATCACTCCCTGGGGGCTGCTCTCAGCATCAGAGGGGTTTCTATGACATATGAAGGTTTAAATTCAGCTTATGATTGTGGGATGCAGAGAGTTCTTACCAAAATGTTTTAGATCTCTGAGAAACAGAAGCTGTTTATTGTTGAACTGTTAATTGTTTGCAGCTGAGCAGTTGTTGCTCCTGATTTCCCAGCTGGTCCTAAAACTCACTAAACTTCACAGTTCGTTTATAACTTAATGATCAATTTGCAGAGTAGCAATGCGGATGGATTATGGCTTCAGAGGAGGAAAGGAGTTAGCTGTACTTTTCAAGCCTTTAATGTTTCAGCTCAACTTCTTGTACTTATTCTGGTATCTATTGCAGCCTGGGGGCTGCGTGTTGCAATATCTCAACTGAGATTATCAGCTGCTTTTACACAGTGAGGTTCAACGGCTGTTAGACCCAATTGTTTTGAAATGTAACATAAAGGGGATTTCATATATCGTTAAGTAAAGATTTAAGACACAATAGCTTTGTAAACGCCTCCCTGCCTTTGTTACAATTCCATGTTCAAAACATAAGTGGGTGGTCCTAATGTGTCTCAGAATAATCAATAAGCAAAAAGATTGTTTCCTAACTTTGTTCTTATTTTTTTGTTAAGTAAAGCAAAATAACCGCCACAACATTAGTGTGCTTAAATCATTCATAAATCTAGTAACACCTGCTGAGAGAAATTGTCAGGAAGATGGATTTGATGCTAATTTATCAAACCTTCATGTCACAGATAAATAAACTGCTTCAAATAAAGCACATGTACCAGCTATACCTTAGATAGATGGACAGATATGATAAAATGATTCATATTAACTCCCTTTGAGTCATTTTGCATTAGTATCTAATTAAACCCTCAAAGCACAGACAAATATAATGAATGAGCTATGTCTAGTGCATCTTATCACAAAGCAACTTTGCTGTTCTGTCATGATCATGGTGCTGATGGCCTGCTTAATTGCTCATTTCATTCACCCGATCTGATCCTCCTGCTTCTATGTAAACTCCTTGTTCCAAGCCATCAGTGCCAGATTATTCTCCAGCCTTGTGTGAGAGTTCTCTAGTGTACCCAGTTGTGTTTCTGATTACCTGATCCTGATTAGTTTCTGCCTCTGGACTCCAGAGTTTTGCCTGCCCATGTCTGATCTGTTTGCCTGACCTGTCTTCTGACTCCTGTTGGATTCTTCTGTGGACTGAACCTGGATCTGCCTCTTGACTTAGCCCTTTGGATTACCCTGCATTCCTTCATGTGGTTGGATCTATCCTCCTGCCAGTTCTGCAGCCTTACTGTCTTCAGCGTCTGGAACTCTCTTACAGCGTCTGTTGCGTCTTGTCTGCCAACCAGCTGGAATCATCCTTGTTCTCTGGGCACGGACTGAACTGTCAAACCAGGTTAGTGACTCACGCCTTCATAATCATCCTATGTCAGGTTATCTTGCTCAACAACTTGTGTTTTCTCTCCTATACACAATCCTGCTTTAAACGCTCAAACAGCTGATACCCCAGATCCACAGCCCGTCATTTAAATAAACACTTTTTAAGTTATTCCATTGTCTGCCTTGCCTGAATTCTTGGTCCCTCTGATCTGAGACTTTACAGTATGTCAGAAAAGTGGGTCTGATTCTTGTTGGGAGGAGCTACCCTCTCCTTTCTTTGCCTGTATCAAATTCAATGGCGGTTGAAATCGAAAAAGTGTTAGTGATCATAGCACTCTGCATCAACAGTGCTGTGTCTGTCTCCCTGCCAGCTCCCAGATCAGCTTCTCTGATTGGTTGTTGTGGCGTGTTGAGCAGAATAAATAAATTTTTTCCAACTTCAGCATCTGCTGCTTGTGAAGCGGGTCACTTGCCTCAGATGCTCAGAAGCTCATGAGGCGCTACTTCGGCTGCTCAGATGTATCAAGATGCATTTCTCTAGCCTTGTGAGACCATCCTGATCTCGCGAGCTTTCAAGATTTCACTCGCTAATCAGTCTGGAGACTCTCCGTTGAAGAAAATTTGGAGCCGTTCACCAAACAAACGTCTAATCAGTGTTGGCTTTAAAGCGGGTTGAGGTGTGACGCAACGAGAAGCGCAACAGTTCAGTCTAAAGAAGATGGCGGCTTCAGCCGATGAAACTAGCGTTAGCGTGGCTATCGAGCAAGTTTTATCGGAATTACAGTGTATTTCTTCACTGAAAGAAGAGCAAAACACTGCTCTGGAGGCTTTTCTCAGAGGAAAATATGTTTTTGCTCTTCTACCAACTGGTTTCGGCAAGAGTTTGATCTATCAATTGGCTCCTCTTCGTCGTCGTTCTGTTACGTCATATGCTTCGTTGATCTGATTGGTTTATTTGGCGGAGTCAGGTTAGCGTTTCTCCTACTGCTCGAAATGTGCTGCAGGACCTTTAGTTGGGCACTGATGCTCTTCAACCATAGACTTTGCATGTAACCCAGCTGCTTCTGCTGCTTCATTCCTGTGCATTGCGAACGTAACATAAGTTGAGCTGGATGCCGGTTGCCTCTTAGTATCCACAAAAGCCATCTTGAATATACAGTAACGCTACATTTGTTTTCTAGGTCGGACACATTTAACATGGATGCGTTTGATGTTACATCTGCTGAACAGTGCAGGATCTTCTGACCCGAAGAAAATAAAGGAAAATAGGCTACAGACTTATAGATGTATTGTTGCTGAACTACTGAGGTGTTGGTCTGTTCATCTAATGATGTTTTAGTCATAAAGGGTCAAGGCTATTTTAAATATATTTTCCAATAAAAACATACATATTTTCACTTTACAGTTATACTTCATGAATATATAAAAAAATGCAACAACACAAAAAATAGTAAAGAGACATACTACACTGCTCTCCTTACATTTTTTGTAAAAAGTGTTCACTTTTATAATTCAAATTCACATACACATATTTAAGAAGACCTGCAGAGATCATATATGATGAATCTTGTTGGACCACCTGGACCAAAAATACCTGACCCAAATTTTCTATCCAAGTCAACGCAGTGGTTGTGTAGTCAGCACTTTTTGTCTCCACCAGATTCTGATGGAGTAAAGTTCTACTCAGTCTGCATGAACTCTGCTGTTTTACTCTACAGCTGGCTAATAACATGCGGCATCAGCACATACTAAACCATCCCCGGGGAACCATCAGATCAATGAGGCAAACCAGTCAATCAGATGTTGATTGAAAGAAAATTGCTGAATCAGTTGGTGGCTTTCTGCTGTTCTAGAAGTTTACCCACTAACTTCAACACTTTTGAGCAAACAGAAGATTCTAGTGTTTTTTCTTTCCTGAAACTAGGTACTCACTAGGTAAACACTGTGTAAAGAG